AAAAAAAAAAAAAAAAAAAAAAAAAAAAAAAACAAAGTAATAAAACATAAACGCATTATCACGCACCAGTCCAAGTTAAGCTCCAAGAGGCACTTTCGAACGGAGCGTACAGCTTCAGTTTAGCAGTCGAAGCCCCGCCCAAGTAAAATCTTTCTTATTGGCAAAAATCCAGTTGAAAAAACGTTTCCTTCGCTGCTTATCCACTAGCCAGAATCAAGTCAAATTTTTCCAAGTTGTCACATAAACTTGTGTTCTCAAAGCTTCAGCTGCTTGTTACAACACAGGAAATTTTGTTTTTTAGAAAGAAAGAAAATTCAAAAATTAGGCGAAAAAAATGCCGGAACTTTACTGTTCCAATCGTGCATCCCTGAAAGCTAAACAAAGTGCAAATTATTCTGCAAACAATTGCCGATTTTGACACATTTCTTCCGGCATTCTAAACAATGCAGGTTTTTAGAAATTTTGACCTTTCCGGTTTTTACAGTTTTAAATTTATTTTATTGCGGACGAATCGTTTGGCTTCTAGAACTTACGATGCTCATACTCGTATCTGATTGGTTTCTAAGTGTTAAGGTGGTTAAGTGTGCATTGTTTAGGTAAAGGAATATTTTGATCCAGCTCCTTAGGGCTGGGTTTCCACAGGAAACCAGGAAATTCGCATACTTTTGAAGCGCTTTTAGACTTTTCAGAATCTGAATAGTGCATAAGTAGGATTTAGGTAATGAACAAGTACCTCAACTAGTTAAGGAACCTCAAAATCTCAGAACTTCTAGAACTATAAATCTGTGAGCTGCAGTTAGGCAAAAAAGCTCCCTTCTGATGATATAGTTACAAGTATAAATATTGAAAGTGTGGCTTTTGGCAAATCTTCAAGAAACCGCATTGCGATCATGTTTTGCCAAGCGTTTTCAATGATTCTTGGGGCTGTCTTGGAATGCGAAAATTCGTAGTATTTGGACGCTGTTAATTGGACGTTTATAAAGCATGATAGAGATATGAAGGGCTTTATTGGAAAAAGCTTCATTCCTTCAAATTTTTGTCTTCTTTTAGTACAACTTCACACCGTGAGAATAAAAGAAGAACGCGCAACTAATTTTTGAGTTGCATCCACCTTTGATTTGGTATTTTTTTTCCGCTACTTGCTGGCAGTTAGTTATTCTTAACTCTTCAATGTGTATTCTGCCGGTAGTATTATTTGGTCAACTACTGGAAATGCAAATGACGCTAATCTCTCCAACAGTTGCAGTAAATTTAACGAACCGTTTTGTGTTAGACTATTGACTTTTCAATGTAAACTGCACACGTAGACTAAGTACTATTGGAGTTATAACTGTTTAGGGCAGTGATTTTCCAGTTTCCATTGTTGTTGGAAGAATGTTGATAATCTTTGCTACTTGGTTCTTAATGTAAGGGATCTTTGTTTTCTGACATTTGAATATATTTTCGCATACATGCATAATGGCTTGAAAAAAGTTTGCTGTGGTATAACAAGCCAGGTGGAATAACATATTTTTGTGCACATTTTTCTGGTTTTCGTATATAAGATAAACATTTAGTTAATGACTTTGTTTCTTGGCAGTTACGTTATAGGTCGTTTAAGGAATTTGTCCAAAAATACATTGTACCTGTTAAATCGGTTTGAAAACGTATTTGTATTGAGCAATGTCTTCCGGTGGAAACTATGATTATGTCCGTTTGAATGATTCTCCAGTTCCTTCATCTTCAAACCGCATGTTAGAGGACACCTTCATGAAACAGCAGGCAAGCGGACTGTTGGTGCATTTTGAGTTTTTTGGGAGCTGATTTTGTTGATTTCTGTTTATTTAAATCAGGCCACTTGAGACTTTGAGAAAGATGTTGGAATGTTTTAGTATGCCATTTTTAACTCATTATATTTGTCTTTTAATGCTTGAAAATAAAAAATTTTGTTTCAGCAAATAATGAGGGACCAGGATGAAGATTTAGAAAAAGTTGGAGCTTCTGTACATGTGTTGAAGAATATGAGCTACAAAATTGGGGAGGAACTTGAAGAACAAGCCGTGTAAGTGTACTTTGTGTAACTTTTTTATAAACTTGTCTGTTAGCTAGTGAATTTACAGATTAATTTCTTGGAGTAAGGAATTATGAATTTAAGAACTAATAGCACAAGATAGACTCACTTTCTGTGAATGATTTCCAGTTAACTGAGCCGAAGAAGGACAGTTATGTGGTTTCCGCAACCTTCAAAACTAAATGAAACCTAGTCGTTTGTAGGATAACTTTTTCCTGTTTGATCTGCTACATTTAAAACGGTTTACGTTATCTTAAAAATTCTTTTGCAGAATGTTAGACGAGCTAGGTACTGATATGGAAAGGGCTGGAACAAAATTGGACAACGTCATGAAAAAGATAGCAAAAGTAACGAATATGGATGATGGTAAGTAAGTTTTTTTCCGGAAAATCGCTACTTTTGCAAGTAGGCAATGTCCTCCTTTTTAAAAGCCTTTTGTTGAAAATTTTTTGTTGTTTAGATAAACGTCAGTGGACGGCGATCTTTGTTTTGTCTGGGATATTGTTTTTTATAATCATTCTTTTTATTATATTGTAAGGTTTTTTAAGGTTTTGTATTTATTTATTTTTGTTACCTACAGTAACTGCATTTATGGTGCAATTGGTTGAGGTTGTTAAATTAACCTAAAGGATTTGTAGATGCATTTTGTGTCATGTATTGAAAAGGTACAGGGAGTACCACGTTGTTTTCTCTTATTTTATTTTCTCTGATAATCTTAAATTGGTGCTGCTAATGTTAAAGGGATTTTTTATGGAACAGAGTTTTACAAAAATAGCTTTCTTATTTGAAGGGTAGTGTTTCAATGGTAGGAATTGTCAGAGGTTAAAAGTTACTGAAGTTTTTTTAGTTTTTTAAGTAAATTGAAGAAAACGAGTGGAAGTTTTTCAGCGTTTTTTTGTTTCTTTTGACCTTCCTTTGACTGTTCTTTTAATTCGTTTTGGATTTATTTGATAATAGTTTGTTGTCTATTTCTATTGTTGGGCAAATATCGTTCTTAATTGTAAGTAGTTAGGTAATTATTAAGTTTAAAGTCTTATTTCGAGGTTGCTTGGTTCCTAATTTTTGAACGTAGTCATATTTCTACTTTTTTACAAAATTGCTTAATGCTTAGGTAGGTACTTAAAAAAAGTATTCTTTACAAGATGCTTTTTTTATAGGATTAACATGATGCAGTTACTGTTTTTGCGAATGCTTCACCTCATGATTATATATTAAGGAGGTCGGTTTTAGGCATTATTTGATACAACTTTTTATTCTTGTTTAGCCTTGTTTTTTCTAACATTGTAAAATTATTTGTGGGATTAAAGGTGCTAAATGTCTCAGTATTTCTTTTATTCGGACTGATAGCGACTAGGTTTTTCGCACCGAATGTAGTTTGTTAGTTACCTTTAATGCAGGCATAAAGTCTATTTTTCTGTAATCTTTTGTAAAAACTGTGTTTCAGAGTTCTGTGATTTTCTTTTTCTTCTCTTGTGATGGTTGTCTATATATTGCTTATTTCGCTTA